CAGTATGAATTCTCTTATGCTTACTAAGGATTGAGGACTGGTAAAAAGCTTTGCCACATTCTTTACATTTGTAGGGTTTCTCTCCAGTATGAATTCTCTTATGGCTAGTTAGGTGTGAGCACTGTTTAAAAACTTTGCCACATTCTTCACATTTGTAGGGTTTCATTCCAGTATGAATTCTCTTATGTTGAGTAAGGCTTGAGAACTTGTTAAATGCTTTGCCACATTCTTTGCATTTGTAGGGTTTCTCTCCAGTATGAATTCTTTTATGCTGAGTGAGGTTTGAGAATTGAGTAAAGGTTCTGCCACACTCTTCACATTTGTAGGGTTTCTCTCCAGTATGAATTCTCTTATGGCTACTTAGATGTGAACACCGATTAAAAGTTTTGCCACATTCTTCACATTGGTAGGGTTTTTCTCCAGTATGAATTCTTTTATGACGAGTAAGGCTTGCAAACTGTGTAAAGGTTTTGCCACATTCTTCACATTTGTAGGGTTTCTCTCCAGTATGAATTCTCCTATGTCTAGTTAGGTGTGAGCACTCATTGAAAAGGTTGCCACATTCTTCACACTTGTAGGGTTTCTCTCCAGTATGAATTTTCTTATGTTGAGTAAGGTTTGAGAACTTGTTAAAGGCTTTGCAACATTCTTTGCATTTGTAGGGTTTCTCTCCAGTATGAATTCTCTTATGTTGCATAAGGTTTGAGAACTGGGTAAAGGCTTTGCCACATTCTTCACATGTGTATGGTTTCTCTCCACTATGAATTTTCTTATGGCTAGTTAGCTGTGACCACCAATTAAAAACTTTGCCACATTCATCACATTTGTAGGGTTTCTCTCCACTATGAATTTTCTTATGGTTAGTTAGTTGTGACCACCAATTAAAAACTTTGCCACATTCATCACATTTGTAGGGTTTTCCTCCAGTATGAATTCTTTTATGTTTGGTTAGGTTTGAACATCGATTGAAAACTTTGCCACATTCTTCACATTTGTATGGTTTCTCTCCAGTATGAATTCTCTTATGTTCAGTAAGGATTGACCTCCGGCTAAAATTTTTGCCACATTCAATACATTGAAAGATTTTGCTTTCAGTTGATGAACATTGAGTAAGTCTATTATAACATTCTTTTTGCCCCTTACCCTCATTCACAGTTCTCCAGTCTTTCACTAAGTGCAAATTGTCAAGGCCCCAGCTTCTATGTCTCGTCAGTGTCACTTTTTGGCATAAATCTTTCATATCCTGCTCTGGCAAAAGGTCTTGAATGGAATAAGATAAAATAGCTGAAAGAAATAAAAATAAAAAGTTATTCTGCTTACTAATCTCCAGTAAATACACTTTACAAATCTAATAAATATTATATCAAAGACATTAACAAGATGGCATAATAAAATACCACAGGCCCTGATTCCTTTTTGAACATATAAACTTAACAAAAATATACTGACCAAAATGCCTTTCTGAAAACTATAAAATCTAGTTGAGTGTGCAACACCCTAGGTGAGCACAATTGCAAAATCCACATAGAATAGAAAGTAAAGTTTGTTACATTTATACATAAAACCTTTCCTCCACCCCAATATAGCATGGTGTCTTTAAGAGTAAACTTCAAACTCCTGGCTTCTCCCTCAAAGCAAAAAAACAGAAAAACAAAACATTGCACATGTGCCCATACTTCTGGCTTTTAGGGGCTTTCCAAAGACTGGTTTCTGTCTCCCATAACAAAGACTGTTGAAAGAAATGGTGGTATGCTTTGAATGACAGCTTTGATCTGCTAAGAAAAAGGTAAATAATTGTTACTGCAGCAGAGAGATCATAGTGCCACAGACAGACACCAGGTGTAGCACATGATTACAGGTTTTTACAAAGAAACATGAACAAATCTCTTTAGCTGAACAGTAAACACACGATTCCAGAGAAGACAAATCATAAGAAGAGGTTTGAGAGGCTACAAGGATCTCCAGCCTGGCAAATAGCTAGTAGCCTTCTCCAGGACAAAGCCACTTATAAAGAGTGTGACAGGTGGCATTTTATTAATGCCCAAATATGAACCAAAGATTACAACATATGCAAAGTTATCAGGGTAACATGGTCCAATCAAGGAAACAAACTAAATAAAAAATTAATTCTAAGAAAATAAATATGTATAAATTATCTAAATAATTCAGATGACTCAGTAAATGAAATGGGAACAAAGACAACTAAATAAAATCAGGAAATGGGAGTATCAACAAAATAATAAAATGTATAACAAGAAACAAAGTGTGGGACTAAAGAATACAAGAAAATAACAGAAATGTTTAAACAAAAGATGTAAAAAAATCAATAATAAACACAAAAAGACCCATAAGAAGACACATTATAAGCAAGATTTTGAAATCACAGAGAGGAATAAGATGTTGAAAGCAGCAAGAGAAAAGTGATGTGTCATTTATAAGCATTCTCCTATGGGATTACCTGTGAATTTATCAACAGAAACTTTGCAGGGAAAAAGGGAGTTAAGTGATATAGTCAGGGTGTTGAAAGAAAAAACAAAAACTTTCAAGCAAGAATACTATTAACAGTAAAACTGTCCTTCACAATTAAGAGAAGATGAAGACTTTCCAAGATAGCCAAATGCAGAAAAACTAAATCACCAGTAAAACTGTCCCATAGAAAATGTAAAATGGACTCCGGTCCATTGAAAATAAAATGTGTCATTAAACAAAAAATTATATACAAATACATAACTCTCTGGGAAAGATGTATACATACACAAAAATAAAATTCTGTAGTTTTATAATGATGGTGCTGAAAACACTTTTACTTACGCTCTACGATTTGAAAAATGCATGAGAACAATAATAAACATCTGTTGATGTCTATATAATATGAAATATATAATTAGTGACATCAATAATATGAAGTTTAAGGTAAATATAACAAAAAAAATTTCTGTATGCAACTGAAATTAAGCTATTACCAGTTTATTATATGTTGTTGTAACTTTGGGGGTTTTATAATTCTCATGGCAACCACAAAGAAAATACCTACAGAGATACATATAAACACACACAGAAGAAGAGAGTAGAAGCATGTTACTAAGCTCAGAAAACATACTGGAAGACAGAGAGAAAAAGAGGAAAAAATGGCTACAAGAATCCGATAAAACAATAAATGACAATAGTAAGTAATTATGTTTTAGACAGCTATTTAAATATTCATCAACAAAACATCCCAATCAGAAGACTGAATAAAGAGATTTAGAAAAAATTTTAAAAACCACAAACTATGTCTTGTCTCCAAGAGACTAACTTTAGACGACTGGCATAATAGTGGGAGGAAGAAAAAAGATTCCATGCAAATGGTAACCAAATGACAGTTGGAAAGGTAACAATTATATTGGGAAAAGTACATTATATGTCAACAACTGTTATATTTCACAAAGTATACTTTAAGCCAAACTTGTCACAAGAGAAAATATGAACATCAAGTAATAATAAAAGTGTTCATTTATTGGAAACATATAATTTATAACCATGCATGAATACACATAAGATTTACTGAGAACATAGGTTCCCCATTAGGTTTCCCAAATATATATGTTTATTTAAAAATCCCACACAAATTTGAAATGCAAAGAGAAAACTAAATGGAAGTGCAACTGTATAGGAAGAATAAAATCAGCAAGTTGTTGGAACAGGAGGTCCTCTTCTTGTATATCTCCCAAAGCAACAAAAACTTATCAACCATCTATGGACATAAGTGCCTTTGTGAGAGAGCCGGGCACCATGGCTCATATTTGTAATTCCAGCTATTTGAGAGGGTGAGGCAGAAGGATTACTTCAGGCCAGGTGTTTGAGACCAGCCTGGCTAATAGAGCAAGACCCTGTCACACAAAAAGTACATTTATGATTGTTTTGTGATTCGGGGAGGGAGTTGTAATACCCTGCCAAAAGCACAAGACCAAGGAAAGCCTTTTTCAGAAAGTAAGTTTACCTTCAGATGGCAAACTTGAGGACCGCTGGTCTTGGCTACAGATGAAGAAATGGCCCATTTAACATGATTCCACTTAGAATTCTGAAGTAACACTGTAACTGTCATTAACTCCTCCCAGCCATAGTCAAGAAGAGGTACTGCCCATTCAGAGAGCTAGGGTCAGATGCTCATTCATGGCCATAGACGCAGAACTGCAGACCTTGACATTTACTGTGGTCTCTGAAGCAGGTGAATAACTCAGTTCTAGACCTTTAAGCTACATTCCATGGCCAGTCCTGCCAACCTGGAGACCTGTGACCTGGTAAAAACCTTGCAAGTACTGGGTGGGAGCGACACACATACAAACACTTGGTATTAGGCCAAGTGTCTGCCCTACAGATCAAAGTGCTGAAGGCAACTCAGTTGGCCAAGTAATAAGACAGACTTCATAAGCACACAAGCCCCTGGTAATAAGCCCACTAAAGATAGACCCCATTGTGGACCCTGCAACAACCTTAGGACTCAGGTATATAATCTCTCTACTGTGAACCCAGAAAAGATCTCATCAGCTGGGGACCCAATAGGATAAAATCTTTACCTGTATAAACCAGTTTATAAGAACTGGTAGAGGTGTTTGCTCCTTCAAATGCACAGACACCAATGCAAAGTGATATTGTGCCCATTATCAATGCTTCTATTTTAACATAGTCCTGGAAGTCCTAGACAGAACAATTAGGCAAGAAAATTTTGTAAAAGCCATAAGAACTGAAAAGAAATAAGTAAAAATATTGCTGTTTGTTGATGACATCATCTTATATGTAGAAAGCCTAAGAAATAAACCAAAAATCTTAGTAAATTAGCGGAATATAAAAGGTTATACAAATATCAGTTTTGTTCTAGTACACTAACTACAAACCATTTAATAAAAAAACTCATTTACAGTAACATCTAAATTTCTTAGCAAAAAAATTTAAACAACATGAAAAATCTTTACATTGGGAAAGAAAATATTGATAAAAGAAACAAGAAAAAACAAATAAATGTAAAGATACCCAATGTTTATGAATTGGAAGACTAATTATTGTAAAGTGCCATATTATCCAAAGCAATCAAGAGATTCAATAAACTTCCTATCAAAATTACAATGGCATTTTTAAAAATAATAGAATAAAATTTTAAAATTTATATAGCATTACAAGACACTGAATTGTGAAAGCAATCTTGAGAAATAATAACAAAGCCGGGGGCATCATACTTTCTGATTTAAAGCTCTATTTGAAAACTATGGTAGTAAGAGTAGGATGGCATAAACACGAAAACTGATACAAAAATGGAACAAAATAGAGAGCTCAGATATAAACCCATGCATATAAGGTCAATGAATCTTTAACAAGGGCGTCAAGAATACACAGTGTACAAAAGATAGTCTCTTCAATAATTGATGCTGGGCAAAAAGAATATCTTCATGCAAGTGAAATTAGACCATTTTTTTCTTACACGATACCAAGAAATTAACTCAAAATAAAGACTTAAATGCCAGATAGAAATCCTTAAAAATCTTAAAAGAAAATATATTTTAAACACTACTTGATATTGGTTGTGGTAATGATTTTTTGGATATGACATCAAAAGTACAGGCAACAAAAGCAAGTATTAACAAGTTGGACTGCATGAAACTAAAAAGCATCTGTACAGCAAGAAAAACAATAAAATAAGAAAATCTGCAGGATGGGAGAAAATATTTGCAATCCATAAATCAAATAAAAGGTAGATATCAACAATATATGAGGAACTCATAGAAATCAAAAGGAACACAATAATAATCATAATATTAATAATAAAATTGAAAAGCAGGCAAAAGACCCAATAGATATTGTTCCAATGAAGACATACAAATGCCAACAGATATATCAGAGGGCTATCACCAATCATCAGGCAATCACAAATCAAAACCATGATGAAATATCACTTCACACTTAAGATGACTAATACATATATATTAAAAAGTGAGATAACGGTTTGACAATAATGTGAAGAAAGGGGCTAAGAGCAGTGGCTCATGTCTATAATCCCAGCACTTTAGGAGGCTGAGGCGGGCAGATCACCTGAGATCAGGAGTTTGAGACCAGCCTGGCCAACATGGTGAAACCCCGTCTCTTCTAAAAATACAAAATTAGCTGGGTATGGTGGCACATGCCTGTAATCTTGGCTACCTGGGAGGCTGAGGCAGGAGAATTGCTTGAACCCGGGAGGTGGAGGTCATAGTGAGCTGAGATCGTGCTATTGCACTCCAGCCTGGGCAACAAGAGCAAAACTCCATCCCAAACAAAACAAAAGAAAACAAAACACACAATGTGAAGAAACAGAAATCCTGTACTGTATACTTTAAAAGTTGTAAATTGGTGAAGTCATTATAAAAATTGGTATAAAGGCTCTTAGAAAAAGATACAAGTATAAAATTCAACAATCCCAGTTCTGTGTATATAACCAAAGGAAATGAAATCAGTATCTCAAAGAAATATCTGCATCCTCATATTTATTACGGTATCATTCACAATTGCCAAGATATGACAATAACCTAAATGTTTTTAGACACTAGATGGATAAATATGGTTTACATACACAATAAAATATTATTTGGTCATAAAAATAATTTAATTCTGCCATTTAAACAACACGGATGGACTGGAAAGACATTATGCTAAGTAAAATAAGCCAGACACCAAAAGGCAAATACTGTATGATCTCACTTGTATAGAGAATCCAAAACGGTGAAACTCACAGAAGCAGAGAGTACAGAGGGAGTTGGCAGGGCCTAGAAGTGAAGAAATTGGGAAGGTGTTTTTCAGTTTTTGTTTTTTTGAGACGGAGTCTTGCTCTGTCGCCCAGGCTGGAGTGCAATGGTAGGATCTGGAGTGCAGTGGCTGTTCGCTGCAGCCTCCACTTCCCAGATTCAAGCAAATTCTCCTGCCTCTGCTTCCCGAGTAGCTGGGATTACAGGCACCCGCCACCATGCCCAGCTAATTTTAGTTTTTTTAAGTAGAGATGGGGTTTCATTATGTTGGCCAGGCTGGTCTCAAACTCCTGACCTCAAGTGATCCGCCCACCTTGGCCTCCCAAAGTGCTAGAATTGTTGTTTGGTTTTAAGATGAACAAATTTAAAAGATCGAATGTGTAATTTCATGAATACAGTTAATAATGTCTTGTAGGCTTAAAATTTGCTAAGGTAGTAGACATTAGGAATTCTCACTCCAAATCAATTTGAGTGTGTTAATTATAGTACAATGTGTACACATCAAATTTTTATGTTGGACATTCATAATTTGTATTTGTAAAAGAGTTGTTACACACACAAATAAATATATATGCATGCATGTATATGTATGTATACCCCAGTAAGCTTTATAGTAAATAAAAACAAATTTAAAATATAGTTATTTAAAAATAAGGTAAAAGGTGGGAGTTTAATATACGCTCAGCAATCTTCCAAGCTCCCTAATAAAACAGTATTGTTTTTAAATGTAGGGAGTAGATATATTAAATTATATTACTGTTGATACTGTAACAATGTGGGCATAGAGTTTAAATTACCAATCTCAGTTTTTACTTAGAAAATAAAATTTTGAAGTAAAATAAGTTTAGATTTTCTTATATTTAGTGTTCTGATAAAATCACTGAGTATGAGCTTCTGTAAAATCACATTTGAAACCTCCATAGGATAGAAAATCATAAAGCTGAAAACACAACATATGTTTGTGGTGTTCCTGGGATTTCTGAACCAAATGCCAATATACCACTACTCTCACAAATTTCAGACAAGATGCAAAAAGAGAATTAAATGGTATAAAATAGAGTTCCTCAAAAATATGTAGATATGCCTATGTTCCACAAAGCAACGGAAAAGCAGTCAGATTATATAGTGCCTTATAAACCATGAAGAGGACTTTGCTTCACTCTGTAACCTCAAAGGAAAATCACTTCATGGTAGTGGAATCCTTAGAGAACTTAAGAGCATGGGGCAGAAGATGCTCCTGTGAGAGGAAGACAAAGAAACTCAGGCTTTTCTGAAGCAGAGCTGCCCAAACCACATTTTCATTTCTGGCTTTCTCCTTGACATTTGGGCCTCTAACCTGTGTCATCTACTTTATTTACTCCTACCTGCCTTGAAATTTGGCTACTATCACCTGTCTCTTTAAACTCCCAGGCTGTTTTCTTTGTTCTAGACAGGTGACCAGGTCTGGATTAGACATAGCAAGACCTGTTTCATTAGAAAAAATAACATGATTCTTGCTGGCACGCTCCAATTACCAACCTAGTACGGTGCTTGGTAGGAAAACAATTTTTTAGAAGGTTCTAGAAAATTACTCCCAAAATACTATTTTCTGACATTAACTATAAAATATTTAGAAAGGACTTTAAATGCATAGGTTCTTTTTGTTTGTTTGTTTGTTTGTTGAGATGGAGTTTAGCTTTTGTTGCCCAAGCTGGAGTGCAATAGCTTGATCTCAGTTCACTGCAACCTCTGCCTCTCAGGTTCAAGTGATTTTCCTGCTTCAATCTCCCAAGTAGCTGGGATTACAGGCACATGCCACCATGCCCATCTAATTTTTTTTTTTTTTTTTTTGTATTTTTAGTAGAAATGGGGTTTCACCATGTTAGCCAGGCTGGTCTTGAACTCCTGACCTCAGGTGATCTGCCCACCTCGGTCTCCCAAAAAAGTATAGGTTCTTAGCTCCACTACCCAATACTACTGAATCAAAACTTGGTAGTGTAATTAGATTTTGAGGTGTGGGCAACAGTATCTTATGCCACTAAAGTTCTGGAATTACCAGTCATCTAGACTGAAGAATTTAGACCTTAAAATGTATGTCAAGATGAAACATTTTGAAGATTTTATTTTCTACACCAACAAATTCCCAAGTTTTCCTTAGAAGCAGAGATCAAAAACTCATTCATGCAAATGACAAACTCTCAGGTAACATTTCAGGAGTGAAAAATATGAAATTCATAGTATGAAATATAAATTGTGTATTGAAGTTATCCTCACCCAGGGAGACCAGGTTTCTGTAGTTCTCGAACATCACATCCCTATACAAATTTCGCTGGGCAGGGTCCAGACATGCCCACTCCTCTGGAGAGAATTCTATGACCACATCACTGAATGCCAATAGTCCCTGGGGGGAAAAAATACACACACATTTACAAAATGTGCCATGGGCAGAGTTCTTAATTTGACTCCAACTGAATTGAAGACAGTAAAGTGAACTTTTTCTGGCATAAATTGTCCAGTAAGATACTGTTTAAAACACAAAGATTCTCAAATGCATTCTGTAACTCTAAGGAAAGAGGATGGCATAAGATTTACAAAACCAGTGTAGATGCTATACTTTTGTTAAGCGTTATAGTATAAAAATAAGGGTGCCAATACAGGCATTACATATTGGACAGCTATATTTACATTACACAAGATAAGTTGGATAAATTTCTCAGAAGGAAAAATCATCTGAAGTGCCTCTCAGATTTTAATGCATATGACAAGAAATTGGAAATCTGTTTAAAATGTAGATTTTGATTCAGAAGGTCTGGGCTGAAACCTGACTTTCTGAATTTTGAACAAGTTCACCTGTGATGCCAATGCTTCTGAACCAAGGAGAATATTCTGCCAAACATTAAGTGGCAGAGCCTGCATTTATCTCAGTTCATTTGACCATTAAATAAGAGCCTTCATTTTCCAAGGTCAAATAATCTAAGAAGGAGAACTTCTAAATTAAATGTGATGGTTCATGCCCATCAGTTATTAAATCTCCCCAATGTACTTAATAATACAGAGAAAACTAATTTGCTTTATAGTGAAGAAATCTGTCAGAAAGCATCTTAACCTAGTGAATAAAATTAACACCAACTGTAACAGAAAAAACTGGTATCACGTGTAAAAATGCACAGGAGGAGGTTACAACATTATTGCTATAACAGCATAGGTCAAGAAGGCAAAATCTGAATCTAATCATAAAGAAACATCAGTTTCATGCAAAATTCCATCAACTTTCTTTTAACTAATCCAAGGACCCGAATCCATCTCCAGTGGGAATCTTGGGCATCCACACCTTCCCATGTTCAACAGATACAAAAGAAACATTCATTTTGCAGGTCAAAAATTTATAGTAAAGATTGCTTATGGCACTTAAAAAGCCTGAATGGATATAAAACATTGATATATAGGAAAGAAATATTTTTCAGAGCCCCTTGACTATCATAAGAAGAAAAATTTAAAAAGTACTTGAAATAAATTTATTAGGCAGAAACATTACAAATATATAAATAAAAGTCTGCAAGTTTTAAACACATGACATTTCTGGAGAAACAGCTGACCCAGCCCCTGACCTAGTACTCATTTACCCGAGAACCAGCCATTTCTTCCTCTTTTTCTGATTTCTGTTCAGATGAGATTATCTGGACAAATCACACATCTTGAGAATATGCCTTTAGAGATGTCAGCACAACTCCTTCACCTGCTATGACCACACACACAGGCAGAAGGACCTTGAAATGCAGAAAAAGCTACTTTCCTGTTTCTTCATCATACAAGACAGGAACAATGAGCTCCTACATAAAGGTCAAAATGTGAGTTTTCATTTTCCTGCCATCAAGTGCCCTTCTGTCCCATGGTAGCCAGCAATTTTGGCTACAATAATAAAAATATTGGCTGCACTGACTTGACCACACCAAACCAAAGGAGAGCAGGCCCTGTGACCTTCCTCTGGAACAAAGGCTGAACTCAACTCTCTCAAATGTATCTAAGGGCCCTCATGCTTGACCCTGGCCTTACCTTAGGATCACATGGGGTACGAAACTAAAACAACAATGTTCTTACCCAGACCAATAGACAGAACCTGTGGGGAGGGTACAAGTGAGAGTATTTCTTTAAACTGGACATGTGATCCTAATTGGAGGCTTGGGCTGAGAGCCACTTAGCTAAGCATTGCTTCTGAAACTTCAATGTGCATATATCATTTGCTATTCTGAGCCCCACTTTAAGTAATGTGATTCTGTAGGTTTGGAAGAGGTCTATTAACTGGTTCCTGTAAGAAGTCCCTGTTCATGTTAATGTTGCTCCTCCTAGGTCCATCACGAGTAGCACTTAGGTAGAAAACTACAGGCACAACAAACAGAGTCCCTTTACACAATACTCTTAGCCCAATACAAATATTTTTGGTCCAAAGTGAAGACCACCAGTCACAATTCTGAAACATGGCATTATCTGCTAGCCCTTTAAAGTTTAAAGAGGACCACAATGTCTGAGCAAATCTCCATTTGGGAAACACCTTGTGCATATACATTAATGCAATGTTTATGGAGCACGTACTATGTGCTGGGAAGTACATTACAAAACACTATGCGGGGAACTTCACATTATGTGAGTTAATCTTCATAAAACCCTAGGAGGTAGATGCGAAGTGTCTCATAATTGCCAGGATGTGAATACAGGGCATACTCTTTCCATTTCTTTTTCCATTTATCTATCACTGATTTTAAAAATAAAATGTATAGGCCGGGCGTGGTGGCTCATGCCTGTAATCCTAGTACTTTGGGAGGCTGAGGCGGGTGGATCACCTGAGGTCCAGAGTTCGAGACCAACTTGGCCAACAAGGGGAAACCCCGTCTCTACTAAAAATACAAAAAATTAACTGGGCATGGTGGTGGGAACCTGTAATCCCACACTTGGGAGACTGAGCCAGGAGAATCGCTTGAACCCAGGAGGCGGGGGTTGCAGTGAGCCAAGACTGTGCCATTGCACTCCAGCCTGGGTGACAGAGCAAGACTCCATCAAAAAAAAAAAAAAAAGAAAAAGAAAAAAAAAAGGAATAAAATAAAGCTAAATATAGATGGAAGAGACACAGAAATAAGTGTGGCATATAGGTTAGAGGAACTTTTTATTGTTGTATTTATATTTACTGTTTTATAACTTGGAGAACAACTACTGGATCCAAAGAAATAGAGAACAGGTTACTGAGTAAAATGTTTTTAGAAACACAGATTTTAATTACAAAATAAAAATTAAGGCCCCAAAATATAGTCTTTGGCTCCCATTTATCTGTTTGGATTTGGGGAAATTGTGGGAACCAGGTTTGGGGAGGCAGCAAGAGCAGGTACTGAAACCTCTGATCTCCCCTAATCAGTTCTGTGAGGGCAAATTCCAGGGTGGAAACATATTTAGACAAGGTTTCGAAGAGCGTGAATCTGGGCAGGGCTGGGACCCTGGGCTTCACATCTTTATACCACTGGCTGATTTTCAGTTATGTCTTTCCTAAGGCTGCCCACAAGAAACTTGACTTTCACAGTTTGTGTAATTTCAATTGTTTAAGCCAATTCTCTATTCTGTAATGTAACAATAAATATAACATAAACCTTTAGAATTTTCTGGCACTAATATACTAGAAGCTAAATATTTTATTCCTAAGAAGGTAAGAGCATTTACTGCCACCACCACTGCTGTACTACTACTACTACTACTATTACCTCCTACTCCTCCTCCTCCTCCTCCTCCTACTACTACTACTACTAATAATTCTGTTCAAGAATGGCCATTCAGGCCAGGTGCGGTGGCTCATGCCTGTAATCCCAGCACTTTCGGAGGCCAAGGCGGGTGGATCATGAGGTCAGGAGTTCGGTGCCTGTAGTCCCAGCTACTCGGGAGTCTGATGCAGGAGAATGGCGTGAACCCGGGAGGCAGAGCTTGCAGCTTGCAGTGAGCCGAGATCCTACCACTGCACTCCAGCCTGGGCAACAGAGCGAGACTCTGTCTCAAAAAAAAAAAAACAAAAAAAAAAAAGAATGGCCATTCAGGTAGTGACATCAGAACTCACAATAACATTAGGGAAGTAAGGAACTCAAATGAAGCCCAAGTTCCCTGTGCACCTATATCTCTACTTTTTTAAAAAACTGGCCACATACTTCCAAATTCAAGCGTTTACCTACATTTTCTAGACTGAAAGTTCATGCATGATGGAGCCATGACAGCTCCATTTGCTTTCCTAATAGCCATAACAATGGAGGCAATTGGTCCATATATTAGTTTGCATCTCCAGATCTCCTCTTGGTTCTTCATCCAAGTACCAGGAAACTGAAGAAACCCCCATCTAGGTACCAACCAAGAAGATTCACTCTATGAGGGGAGAAACAAACCCTAGATGCCTTATTTCTCTTCCACTGAGATGAAAGCAGAATACCCCATCAACAGTCTTCACAGGACATCCCTAAATGTCTCATAGAATCTCGGATGCTGATGAGACGGGTTCCAGTAAGCCTAGGCTGATGTCCCCATGATGAATCAGGCAGGACCAATTCAAGGTACTTCTATGAGGCCAGGAAAGTAAATTAAACTGCCCTTGTAAAGCAGCCAACCATGTTGGATACTACCTGTCTCTGATCAGCTAACTCTTGGGTAAGAGGAAAGATAAAACTATCCTACTCCAGTAAGAGTTCACAGATGAGGTGTAATTGTGGTCATGACTGGACGTTTTGTGGTGCTGACCTCTCATTGCTAAGGTACTTGTTTACACTTACAGATTCTTCCAGGTTTTGCTGAAGGTAGGCTTTACTCTCCAAAAGAAACTTGGAGACAGGGTGCTCTACTTTTTACTATTTGTACAACTGCAGCAGGTCACTGGACAAAATCTACAAAACATGGAGAAACCCACCCCAAAAGAGGGACTTTACAAAGTCTATGTTGATGTCTCACAAGGTAGATGTCTCCCCTGAGTTTTCTATCCATCCTTAGTTCAAAGTCTAGCCCTTTATTTTGCATCTTAGGCAAATGACAGCCCCTCTGTGTGGACTCTAGGCAGAGTCAACCTGGTTTACTATTTCTGGGAGCTACAGAATGGGGAGAAAATCTAGAGGAGATATGCCCTCATGGAGGCTTCTCTAACAGATGCTGAAGAACCCCAGGACCTAGATTCAAAAGTTTAAGCTGCAGACTTAGGTCTTTGAAGGGCAGGAATGTGACAGGTGCCCTCTGTAGATTCCTGGGCATTTGGACAGCAGGAGAAGGAATGAAGTTGAGGGTCTTAACGCCTACTCAATGCACAGATGTGAGCCCAATTGTTTCTGGGCCCCATAATCTCTGACTCAGTTTTGGGTCTGAAGATGCCAGGGGCATTAAAAGAAAGAACTG